CATCATCGACAATGTGCAGAACTGGATTATTATCAATATACATTATATCAACAAGAATGGAATGGTTGAATTGAAGGTCAGTGTCTTTGAGATTAAACCTGAAATGATTAGGTGCCCCTCGGTGCCTTTGGCAATGGTTGCAGAATTTAGTTAAATGATCTAAATATTTTCTAGGAACATCGCTATGTCCTGATTGTTTTAATACAGAGAAAAGTCGCTGAGCAGAAGGATGACCGAATCGACGGTGTAGTCGCTTTAGCTCTGCTTCATTAAGGAAAGAAGGATTCGTATCAAGAGATGTCGAAATTGAAGATTTTAAATACTCCCCCCAAAGCAAAAATGCATGACCAAAACGCCGGATTACAGGAATTTTCTTACTAGGAGTTACTAACTGGTTTTTTAGGTTGTCGTAGTAAACTCCGAGTTTGTCCATGTCTAGAAGTGATAGGAGAAATGGCGTGTCTGCTTGAACAATATGAAACTCAATCTTTCCGATTGGAGTGTCTAAGTTGGTAGTACCTATTGACGTACTAGAGCCTATACCAAATTGTACTTTAATCAACCCAGCTTTTGCTTCATCTAGATAAGCATTTGAAATTTTCTTGAGCACCAAGAATTGTTTGTAGCCTGCTGTGGAATATTTCGATGCACCAGTATCAATAACAATTCCATAAAAATAGGTATCATTGTATCTTCCTGGATTTATAAATATAGTTGGGTCAGTGTGTGGCTCACAGATTGTTTGCGTTTGATCTTTACCAGTCAGAGAGTGAACAAAATAGTTATCAGCAAGGGTCGAAAAAATTTCTTGGGGCTTTTCGACAAATCCCATAGATGTAACAAATGATTCGTCAAAGTGTGATTGCCCCTCGATGTCATCAGTAGGTGAGATCGTTTCTAAAATTAGAGTGTCCATTTTGAACTCTAGGTCGGATTCCTCTTGTTCAACCTCGTCGTGGTGGCCTTCCAATTCTGCGATAAATTGTTCGGCTTTCTTTTCAAAACGTTGCAGCAGTTTTTTCTTGAAACTATTTCTAGCTTCTTCTTGCTCTGCGGTTGAATGATTGTGCGACCAACACCCCTGACGGTTACAAACGTAACATCTCTTGTTAGAAGGCTGTGTTTGGCTTGTGTGTCGATTTATGGGTGGTTTTAGTGATGGTCGGTTGGGGTTAAATTTATTAGCTTTATGAAAACGCCGGTGAGTGAAAAGTTGCGTTGTAGACACCTCATTGTTTGCTTCAGCTGTAGATATTGACGCCTGGAGGTCGTTTATTAAACCACTTAGAGTCTCACTTGGCTTAAAGCATGCAAGTTGACAAGCTTGGACCCCTCGACAAGCATTTATGAGTTTAAGATGTAGATGCTTGTCTGTCCTATACTCAGGGTCGAAACTCAGTTGCAAAAATCGAAGTTCTTTTACCAGCAGCATTAGGCATTCTTGGACTGATTTGCCTTTGCTTTCATTTTCCATTTTGACTCGGGTTAAAGAGAGAGCTTCCCATCTGGCTAACCTGTTTCGTTTTGTTTCTGGACCTTCGAAATATTCTTTCGTTGCAGTGCACAAACTATCAAAATCCTTCCGATGTCCGTTTGATGTGATAGAGTAGTAGTGAGTTAGGGCCGGGCCGCTAAGCATAGTCGAATATGCTTTCGCGTGTAGTTGTTCCGGTATCCCAGACTTTTCACATAATTCCATGAAGATAATTATCTTGAAATCAAACGTATCATCTTCGCCATGGTACTTCAAGTCAGACTCGTACATCTTCGAAAGATTTGCTAATTCTCTCGCATAATCGGCAGGTGGTTGTGATGAGGATGGAAGCGAGTTAGATTGATATTTGTTCGAGGCAGTGTCGGCTGAAGTAGTCGAGAAAGAGGTTACTTTGTCTTTAACAAGAGTCGGTTGTTTGGATGTGCTGTTTTTCATGAGATGTAAAATTTTAACCGAATTAAAAGTTTCGTTTGAATTGGAAACTTCTTCAAAAGCCCATTCAGATGGTTTTTTTTCCATCAAAGTATTGTGTAAGGACTTGGCAATTGTAGTTTTTCTCTTTCCGTCCCATTCTACCCAAACTCCGTTTGACCTCAGGTAAAGTCGAAGACAGCGTTGAACTGAAAGCGATGCAGCCTTGAAATCAGCTTCAGTGAAGTGCGAAAATTCATCTTTGTATGCCTCCCAAAGATTATCATCCTTAAAATTGAATTCCGAAAATTCACGTATCTTTTCCCTTATATAATTATTTACAGACCTTTGTTGGTCTTCTTGTCCGGATGAGGCGATGTCATTCTTAACGCTTGTTTCTGCCATTGCGTAAGTTATCTGGGTATATAGGTATCTTATAGTGGGATTTTCAGCGTGGAAAGAAAAATCGGAAATGCAAAGATTTGACTATGCAGAATTGACAGTAAGATCGAGGGTATAGAGGGTATGGGGATAATTTCCTATTAAATTGATAATTTATTTAAGTTCGGAATGCGTGTGTGAGTGCGTGATGGACGCAAAATCAAGTGCCTTTATCAGGGGTTGATTTCTTGAATATAGACTGGAAGACGAGGGCCTTTTTCAGGGGACGACTTTCAAAATATATTCCTTAGCAAAAACAAATTGAACAGAGGCCTTTATCAGGGACTGGACTTATTTGTTTCTCTCTTCACAGGTATTCTGATCTGAATTCGAAAACTGATCAGTGTCGGAATACTTCGGTGGTAATTGATATCACAAGCTTGATATAGCAGTAACAATTATGGTACGTATGAATTGATCTATCTCCCCCCTGTCTTCCTAGAAGAAAAACATCTATAAACCGTAAAACCCCCGTCTCCTAACGCCATTCCCAAACGGGTACCTCATTACTCATCAACACAATTAGTCATTAGTTCTAAGGAAATACATATTGATCATTTGATCGTTAAGTCATTAAACAAAAACCAAGTCAATGGAGTATTATATATTATTAATTCATATTGAGAAGAGAGTTCGATATCATATACAACTATCAATAAAATCTTGTCCGAAATTGTACACTTGTTCTTCGAGATATTTCCTCCTAGAAATCCTTGACAATTTCTAACACTCTCGTTAGCATGGGAGAAAGGTGGTTTTCCACGACGTTGATGGTCGAGTAGAAAATTGAGATATTGATAGCTGATTCTGCTGCCCATCGTTTTTCATTCTCGACGAGGATGGCCATCTCTTCTGGGATAACATAAATGTTCGATTTCTACTCCACATCACTTTCTCTTTCCAGGAATCCATCACGGGAGGCATTGGATGGGACCATGGTGATTTTTTCAGTTTTTGACAGCATTGTGGGCATAGCTGCGATCTTCTCGATGAGATTGCTGACGACCTAGGAGTAGTTGGCGACGGGATCAATTTCTCCGTCTGCTGAGTTGGCTCAGAGCTGCCTGAATTAGTTTGGGCAGCCCATGTGGAGTTAGATAAGCCTTTGGTGACGAACTCGTCGAGGGCCCTGTCAATAATTTCGATCTCCGGAGCATCCATCACTTTGATGATGATGGTGCACTCCAATAGGTGCGACCATAGTCGGAGCTTAGCGTAATCCACCAGCGAGTGCTGGCGTTTCGTAACTCGTACCGATGGCTCCACGTATTTTGAATCTCTCGGGGGTGGTGGGAAGGTAAAGATTGATAAAGTATTGAAGTGAGATAAGGGTGTTAGATCGCTGTGGAGGCGACGGGAATGTCCGTAATACGAATTGGTACCTTTCCTACTATCCTTGCCTTCAAATTTCCTATTTGTCTATCTATGCCTCTTTTGATAATGTATACCCATTCGGTATTCACCTGTTCTATGATCTGTTAGACAGCGTTTCGTCTGAGTTCTTCTCGTTCTTTCTCTCGAGTTTCCCACCCATCGATTAATATATCGACCTTCTTTGTCTTGTTGCTCAGTGGGTTGATTTTATATTTTGAAGTTTATGATTTGATTTTGATTTTATTATCCTGTTTGCCGCTCTATCGGCCCATATAGGTGTTTATGAACCTTAATATTTATATTGAAGGAAACCATCTGGTGAACCCCCCCAGCCCTTTCTGTTTACTTTCTTGCTTTTCAAAATTTATCCCTCAAGAAGCGTAGTTACACTTTAGTGCCCTTTATGTATTGAGCCACATCATCTTCATCGACCCCAAGAATTACTTGCCCTGTTTCTTTCCATCAGCGGCATTTCGACCGTATTTGTTGTTTGGAATTGCTATATCCAACTGGGACGGAAACCGAGTTGGTGATGAATAAATCGATTTAATAAACTATATGAGGAGAGAAGCTAACTCTAGCTACTACTAACAGGTATTTATAGGAGTTAATCCTCCTCGTGAATCTATAGACTAGTGACTTGTCCTTAGGCACAATACTTCTTACCCAGCCACGTATTTCCAGGTGTCACTAAGTTGTAATAACGCTTCAGCCTCCTGAGTAATAGTCCCGTTTCGTTCAGCTTCATCTCCCCCTCATACAGCCTCATAGTAAGAATTCTTAGTAACAGGCTTAGGTATCCACCTTAGCTCAAACAACGGTCAAACCGTAACACCAACTATGATTTAGAATCCAATATTTAATTCTTTTGATGTCGCGAGGATTATTTATCATAGCTTTCTAGGATCGATCTTTGGCTTGTCTCCAGATCTCTGCTCTACCATTTGACCATCTAGAGCAGAACAGAATTATTTGCTCGGATTTCTGCAATTGGTATGCACATGGAGAGCCTGGACTGGATACTCCGGGTACTTTTTTTCTGTGTAAATACAAGTTGAACCCCATGAGCTCACTGCAAATATGTATTGGTTTACTACTTTAGGCTCATGTCAGATTTGAAGTTCATGGTAAAATTCTACCTAACGTGTAAAGCATTGATGCCCATTTCATTAGCATATAACTACTAGTCTCCGTATCCAACCTAGAGCCATGTGGTGCTGTTCCGCCTATCGGGCAGTTTCTCAAACTCTTTTTCGCGAATAATAGCCAGTGATGCAGTCTAATTTCGACGTGCTTCAAAGAGTTTTTTCTCAATTCTTTCAGCTCCAATATCCTCGATAGTTTCGTCAAATACCTTATTCATTCTTCTATACAAAGATCCACAGTCTTTCGGTGTTCCGATATATCGACCGTCACACTTAAACATTATTTGTGGTAGTTTCTTCGCTGAATTCTTAAGCAATTAGAAACTTTCGTGAAATTTTCGAGGAGCTTTTCAAAAAACCAAGCATGTTCTTTGGAATCGAAGTTCTCATCAACATCATTCGTACACAATCTATTCAGATAATAGCCGGAGGATCTAGACACTTTTTCATATTCTATTGATTGGCAATAGCTGTACTCCTTAGTGATATATTTTCCTGCATTTGTTTTGAGCACTACAGGCCCCTCCTCACTTCTATCATTTTTCTGCCTCTTTGAAGAAATGAAATTTTTATCTTTAGAACGACGTCATGAAAGCTTTATTCTTTTGCCCTGATACCCTCAATTGTATTGATATGATATGTTCCGAAAGATTTTAGAAAAAGTTCAGCTTTAGACTTAACGTATTTGCTGTATTCTAAAATTCCTCTCCCCATTCCATCATCATTGTCAAGCTTTGCTCCGAATATGATTCTCACAAAATTGTTTCATACCTAGTTGTTGTGGGCGATATATGAGACAATATCTTTTTTTCGGTCGTCATGCTTATATATTATCAGGCTATTCAACATACTGTAGAGTTCTGTGGGCGTTTAGGTTTTGAATTCTTTTCCGGTTCCTTTCATGCTTTACGTGCTATGTTTGCCGCTACACAAGTGCCTATTTGAGCCTTAACTAATTTTGAGCAATTTTTCCTAATGGTGGATAATGCAACTTCAATCGCTTGTTTCCATAGTTTTATTTGTGCGGATGTGCTCTCAACTATAATACTAGCTATTTTCTCATCTTTGGGTATTGAGTATGGAGTAGTGTTTTCTCCGTTGACATTATCCTATTGTGTACGATCTGTTACTGGGATGTCGTGGACTTATAGCACGTTGAAAAGTGCACTTGATCTTCCTTTTCATGCTAATATTCCGTCTGAGGTCGTGTCGAGCTATAAGAATTTCTTGTTCATTTTAATTTTCAGAGAAGTTGTTGGTACTTTTTGTTAAAGATTTGATCTATCCGTAACTTTGAGCTTGAGGCTGGCCTGCAATACGAAAAATTTTATGGCCTATCATTAATGATATAAGGGCGAAAAGAGATAAATTAGGAGAAAAGACCAGCACAAGAAAGGGGTGATTAGCCCAGAGTAGGTATGGGGATTGTTAATGTTATAGGAAACATCATTATCTCAAAGAGGAGTCAAGTGCGCGATTTATATGTGCATGTGTTATATCCCTGTCCATCATAACCAAACCCCGCACTACCATAAATACAGTCCATGGGGGTCAATGACTAACCTATTTTGCGTTCGACTTTTATTTTTGCATCAGATTTTAATTGCGTATGAAGCTATCTAGCTATGACACAGTATCAAAGAAAAGTACAGAATAGATGATTCAACGTAAGGGAAGAGCACTCATGCCTTAGAATTCATTTGCAAGTACCACTTCGAAGTTATGGCGGCTTTTTCTTCACCCCAAGTCAACCCTCATCCGTGAATACCCACCCAGGGGAACTTCTCAAAAACCCTGAGTTATCCAGACATGCCTCCGTCATCCATCAACTTTTCTCCGCGCGAAATATGGTCTCAGGCGTCTCCTTCCCAAAAGGAGTAGGTGCCCAGGCTACTCAAACCATACCGGGGAACACCCCTGTATGGGCCCATAGGGCGCCAAATCGGGCAAAATGCAATCAAATTCAAATATACCTAGCACGTAAATGAACAAAACAAACCAAAATAACATTATTACACAATTACATAATAAAGTTCACACTAATCTTCTCAACGCGGTGTCCTCCACGGACCTGGGAGTGCGATATTCACCAAGAGCCGAGTTGTTGAGCCATGATTATTTTACGTTTACCCGAATTTACTCATAACATGACTCGGTTCGGAGAAGTTAATACTGATATGATGAGTATCAAGGAAAATATCTTTTTGCTCGGATTTTACACAGCTCATACTGTGAATTGGGTTTACACTTATGTTTCCAATGATTTACTAATCTTATCTGTCCTGAGCAAGTTTTGGTATGTTTCGGTGGCAGTATTATTTCCGGCGAGTTATCTAGTAGGATTTCATATGAGGAAAACTATGTATTTTAGATACTCGATAGCCAGAGCATAGAGAAGCAACCCTTCGATGAATTTTTACCTTCTACTCCCATTTCCAAAATAGTCCAAGACAAGTCCAGTCAAATTTCGCAATATCAAAGAAGTTGGCCCAAGAGGCAATGATTCAAATTACTCCACCAGGTCCTTTTTTTTGCTCCCAACGAGTTTAAATCCTACCCAAGCCTCATCAGGTCCACAAGTACGACCAAGTACATCCTCATCGCAATGACCACACCGCCCTTCGACCTTCCCTGGCCTCAGCTGGACGCCAAATGCAAGCCCACGCCGATATTTACACCCCACGGAGGAAGCAAAGCATGGAGCACAAATCTGGGAGATAGCTCTTTGGGAATTGCGTGAGAGGATTCAGGACAAGTCCACAAGATGATGCAGAAGAGGGATACGTTCTCGACGGGCGTGAAATTTGGAGTTTTGGCAAGGAGTTTTTACAAATTGAGCTTTTTGCGTGCGCCAAGACCACGCTTGCGAGAGTGTAGGCGACACTATAAACACCGCCATGGTTGGATGGTGCCGTGGTCTACCTCCTGGTGATATTCTCTGGTATAGTTTGAGTAGTCTGGGAATTAGAATGGTTCCGGAAATTGTAAGAATGACATACCAGGTATGAGGATGAGTTAGAGTTATGATGAGTTTGTTCAATGTACGACGAAATCTACTGATGTTTAATGGATAGTTAATTGTAAAGAAATTGCTTTAATTCTATATGTGTGGCATGATGTCCCTCTTTATACATGAAAGCGGGGTTTTCCGCACACTAGTGTGAGCTCCAACATACTTCCTAATCTAACCTAAATGGGAAGGTTGTTGGAGATCCTGAAGCCAATGTATGCTGTCAGGCATCTATTGGCTAATTACTAATCATGCCAGTGAGTGATGATATGGGTTAATCATATCTCATGGCGCCAGTGCATATTATTCTAATATGTACTATTTGTCTACTGTAGTCATGTTGCTGCCTTAATAACAACACTGGGCACCTACTCCTTTTGGGAAGGAGACGCCTGAGACCATATTTCGCGCGGAGAAAAGTTGATGGATGACGGAGGCATGTCTGGATAACTCAGGGTTTTTGAGAAGTTCCCCTGGGTGGGTATTCACGGATGAGGGTTGACTTGGGGTGAAGAAAAAGCCGCCATAACTTCGAAGTGGTACTTGCAAATGAATTCTAAGGCATGAGTGCTCTTCCCTTACGTTGAATCATCTATTCTGTACTTTTCTTTGATACTGTGTCATAGCTAGATAGCTTCATATGCAATTAAAATCTGATGCAAAAAAAAAAGTAAAGATCACACTACTAGTCGACTTAGTCTCTGGTCTATGGTGGCCTCAAAATACAGGCCCACGAGAATACGAATACCTGCAGGACGACACACGCCGTGGGGCCTAAATGAAGGAGATTAACTTTCGGAATGAAGGTAAGAGACTTCGGGACGTTGACTCTGTTGATTTTCTTATTGGGCTAGTTTACCGGCGTTTCTACAATGATTGCTACATGATTTTGTTGTGTGATTAGTCAGCATATCTCCCACATAAATAGTTTATAGGATTAGGTAGAGAGACATATACAGTACATCAACTATCAAGTCCACTGATGCAGCAGAGAAGTAATTACCTTGTTTTTACCAACAAGAAGGATGAGGACAACTTAAGAGGATAGTGAAGAAGATAGATACGATCTAGACTGGTGTAAGTTTCCAAATTTTGGCTAGAAGTTCTTCAAATTGAACAGCATTTTGCGCGCAAAGCCCTCCATTGCGAGAGTGCAACTGACGTAATTAACACAATCTAACTATGGAAGGCTTCGTGATCCGACTCCTGGTGATGTTCTCTGGTATAGTTTGAGTAGCCTGAGCACCTACTCCACTTGGGAAGGAGACATTTCAGATCACATTTCGCGCGGGGGAAAGTTGATGGATGACGGAGGCATGTCTGGATAACTCAGGGTTTTTGAGACGTTTCCCTGGCTGGGTATTCACGGATGAGGGTTGACTTGGGGTGAAGAAAAAGCCACCATAACTTCGCCGTGGTACTTGCAAATGGAATCTAAGACATGGGCGCCCTCCTAAATTGAGTCAACAATCATATACTTTTTCTCTGATATTTTGTCAAAGCTAAATAGCTACATACGCAATTGAAATCTGATGCAAGAATAGGAGAACATTGTGTAGCCAAATTCTATCTTGCTCAAGCTTCCACAGGAATGCGGTACCTACCAATTTCCCCGCACGTTACAATAAAAACAAACGTTCTATATGAGAAAGTTACCTTATCACTCGACCAAACGGTTGGACCAGTTACGACACCACACACAGCCTAACAGCTACTGGGACACATGCATCGACAGCAAGAAAACAGGGTATGAGTCAAAGCATAGCTGCCTGACTGATACCATCAAAATTAGACTACGAACAGAAAAGCAACCTGAAGAAACAGCGATTATATTTGCGTTATTTGAAAAAAATCGTGCGATGAAGTGAACACCATCTAAGCGTCGCCCCCGATGCTATAAAACTGCGCACGATATTGCCTTGCCATAGTGAATTCTAGGTGATGACTATTCGTTCCAATGCGCTCTCTCATCCTCAAATTTGATGAAAGTGATATGGCTAGCCAGGAAAAAGAAGCACCCGTTTCATAAGGGTATAAAATAAGCTTTGATGTTAATTAATCTTCAATCCAAATCAAGGTGAGAGCGGGTTCTATTCTATCGATTCGATCTTGCCTCTATACTGATTTCAGTTGCGCCGCTGAAGCGCATCGCTTAAGTAAACAGCTACGTGGGCGAGATTACTTGGAACGCTTCTCATTTAGGGGTCTGGCGAGATGCTCAGGCCTATCACTGTTCCACTCCCTTCCCATGTCGCCAGACTTTGCTAAACGCTTCGCCCGAATTTCTTCCTTGAGTGTCCTCGCCTTTTCTCGCGGATCAATGACAACTAACTCTTCTTCTGCTTTCCGCTTAAAGCTGAGGTCTTTTCCAAGTTTATCTTCCTTGAAATTTAGCGTATGAGACATCCAGCCGGTACCGCGAAGGTCTTCATCTTGTTCTATCCCAGCAACGCCATCTATTGGTGCCGTTTCCCACTTTGAGCAGGATTGGCAGGAGGAAATGAAATGGAGATCACAAAGAGTTGCCTCCTCGTCAATAGTGACAGATTCTGTTATTTTCTCAGTCACTTGATTATTTTCGAGTTGGATGGCTGAGAATTGCCTGGTTTCTGTGAGAGAGGAAGGCTGAGATGCTTGTTGAAGCTTTGTTTGAAATGCCTTGAGTATATCAATTGATTTTTGGCTTGGTGGAGCATTTTCTGCCGAGTTTCGCTTTCGACCACGTTCCGAGGTCACAGGTATCATCGCTTCGAAAACAGATTTCTGTTCTACTATTTCTGGAGCCCCTTGGTTGTTACGTCTTAATGAAGCCTTCAGTTCTGCTATTTGTGCGTTTGTGCGCTCAAGAAGTGACGTAACTTTCTGCATCGATTCCGGAGGTGTAGTCTCGCGACCATTAAGCTTAGAATCATTCTTAAGTGCTAGATCATTTGATAGAGGGATATTTTGTGGCGAGCTTGGCTCTACCTCGGTACGTATTTTTTTCGAAACCTTGGGTACTTTCGAACTCGTATCGGGATCTTTCTCTGTCTTTGTCGCTATCCTGGAATTGATATTTTTTTCGGCTTCCATAACTATCCTAGAGTCAAACTTTGCTCTTTTGACCAAAGGTTCATTGAAGTTGGTCTCCTCATCATCGCCGAAGCTTAGAGGGATTTTCAGCTTCTTTTTCTTCTTCTTCTCCGTAACCATGAGCGGTACGACAGTCGGAGCAATTCTTTCTCGTCTGATCATGTCTTTAAATGGGTTCACAAGTATCTCCACTGAGGTTATCTTTACAGGATACGTAGGCCTTTCACCCTCTCCTACCTCTGCTTCACCAATAAGGGCAACATTATAAATCGTATCACCAGCTACGCGACCAAATAATGTGTTCTTGCCCTGCAGCTCAGGTGTACTATCCAGAGTGATGAAGAACTGACTCCCATTAGAGTCAGGGCCTTCATTCGCCATACCCAACAAGCCTCTCCTATTGAATTTTATGCGACTGTGAAATTCATCCTTGAATCCTACTCCAAGAGGCCCGGCATTTTTTCCATTCCTATCCTCCATTGGCCATATTCCGCCTTCCTCACGGGACTCCGAGTATGCACCACAGTCATAGATAGATTCGCCGCCATTGCCAGTACCGGTAGGATCACCGCCTTGAAGGATAAAATTGGGTACCAAGCGATGAAATATTGTGTTATCATAGTATCCGTCAAGGCAGTGCTGGAGGAAGTTGCGACAGGTAAGTGGTAACTGGGATGCCCATAGTTCGAGAGAGATATCACCAGCTGTGGTGTTAAGGACACAAGATGCTGTAGGTTGAGGTTCAAGGTTGTAGATAGTGGACATTTTTTATTGCGCGCTTGAATCAATATAGTGATATGAATGATTAAAGATAGACTCTCTGCTTTATGGCCGCTGTATCCAATCAACAATTTTTCCGAATCGACTTCCCGACGTATTATTCATCATCGGCAAGGCTGTGTTTAGAGATCGCTTAGGCTACACTGACACTTATCATCAGATTTCCGTTAGCACTGAAAGCCACCCAGCCGTGTTATTTTTTTAAGAACCAACAGATTATTGTGGTAGCGCCTTGCGCAATCTTATTTAGATGTTGAAAAATTTGTGACGTAGCTAATCATATTGAGGCAGAAACGCAGATGTAGAGCTCATCCTAGACAAGCAGGCGTTAATTAAATCATGAAATGAAGACGATAGTGCCCTATGATAAGAAGTTTAAATTTCCCCGCAATCTCACAATTTTATATAATTTCAACCCTCCATTAGCTTTTTCCTATCACTAGGCGTTTTGGAATAGCACTAAATGCAAATCTCGCTCATTGAGTGTCAAAATCTCATCCTCCACCAGAGATTACGATATAAAGTAACTTTATCGTCTTAAAAATCAAAATCAGACAATAATATACATTGAATCTTGTAATACTATTGAATTAGTAGTATCGTCTTAATCATCAAGGGATCTTCCTCAAAGCTATGGCTACTTCCAAAAATACAGCTCCCTCCACAGCAACTGATGCCGTCCTGGTTCCTTCCGCCGAGATGCCGGCTGGTTCGCAGAAGGTAGAAGAGCTAGATTTCAACAAGATTACTGGTTCAGGGCCAATAACTGTAGATGATCTGGTCTCCGGCATGATAAATATGGGCTTCCAGGCGTCATCTGTGGGTGAGGCTATTCGTATCATCAATAACATGGTCGGTTCTACTGTCCTACAAGTGTTCTATAATCTCCATAGGCCTATTACTGACCTCCTCAGCGCACCTGGAGAGATTCTTCTGATACGAATCATCGTACAACCATATTTCTCGGGTACACAAGCAACTTGATCTCGTCTGGACTGCGCGGTACTATACGATACCTTGCCCAGCACTCACAAATATCAGCAATCGTCACTACTGCTGGTGGCATTGAAGAAGATCTTATAAAATGTCTTTCTCCAACATATGTAGGATCCTTCAATCTCCCAGGTGATAAATTAAGATCGCAGGGCCTCAATCGTATCGGAAATCTTCTAGTACCAAACAACAATTATTGTCTCTTTGAAGATTGGGTGCAGCCTATCTTAGACAAAATGCTTGCAGAGCAAGAGGCGTCAAAACAGACTCCAGAACCGATTAACTGGACCCCGAGCAAAATAATTAGTCGCCTAGGTGCCGAAATTGACCACGAGGAGTCGGTACTTTATTGGTGTTACAAAAATAAAATCCCAGTCTTTTGCCCAGCTTTGACTGACGGCTCGCTGGGTGATATGCTATATTTCCACACCTTCAGAACGTCACCTTTACAACTACACATTGATATTGTCGAGGATATCCGAGCTATAAACACCATAGCCGTACGGGCAGCTCGTACAGGTATGATCATATTGGGTGGTGGCATAGTCAAACACCATATAGCGAACGCCTGCTTAATGCGAAACGGGGCTGAAAGTGCGGTGTATATTAACACGGCTCAGGAATTTGATGGGAGTGACGCGGGTGCTCGACCGGATGAGGCCGTCAGTTGGGGAAAGATTAAGATAGGAGCCGATTCTGTAAAGGTATATACAAAGATAAATATTTCTCTTCTGATCTCTATTTTCTTCGCCACTCAGCCAAGTGTCTATCCCTACTTATTAACTCACTTATTTTGACAACCAGTTCACGCAATTTCTTTTCAATTTACCTCTCATATACTAAAAACTCCCGAACAGGTTTACGCGGACGCGACAGTCTGCTTTCCGCTTATAGTCGCCGCAACCTTCGCCACGGATGAATCGAACAAGGTATAACTGAAAAGTAACATCCAAATCTCGATTAATTATCTGTCTAGAAAAGATAAAATATTGAAGATTTGAAGTAAATAACCTGAGCGCGATCAACTTGTGCTTAATTCAAACCAGAAAGACGCCAGATTTTCTTCCGACCCACTACCAAGTCTTGAAGCTTGATTGCTTCACTCTGTAGCTAGTATAAATTAGAAAAATACTGGCTTTACAAAAGGTGTAAGGAAGTTAACGCATCAGTTTCACGTCAAATGGATCTCATAAGACATTTACGGAGATGAATCACTTGAAAAGAGTAGCTGACTACTATTATCAGAGCCCAACGTTTATATCAGTATATTTGAATAATCTTGCATATTCAGGGCTCGTGTAAATGATATTGAAAGCATCGACTGGTTTACACAAACTTCTTTGATATCAATGCACGTTTGGCTTTCCAGCGCTGCTAAAGTCGCTTGACATTTGAATTATTTTAATACGTCAAACCTATCTACTCAAACTCTTGGAGTAGTCTGAGTCGAGCTCATCGTAAATTGTTAGAGTTCAGCTCAGGGCTAGGATGGCAATTATGTTGATTAAAACCATGACTGTCTGCAAACACGATGCTTACCTCGTTGGAGACTAAAGTAACAGCTCTATTATCCCGACACAGTATAAGAACGGCATTTCCATGTTATTCTGAACAAATTATTCAACCACTCCAAATCACGATTATGAACTATCTATTGGTACATATTAAGTAAATCAATTGTCAAAAAGACTATTAAATTTTAAAGTTATTTTGTTTTCTTTAGCAGTCCTTCATAGTCATAGACTCAGTAGGGACTTAAATTGAATTCTATTCTATTTTATTTTATTTATTCACGATTATGATCTACAACCCTGTTTTAAATCTATAGTCTCCAAAAACCGTGAATTTTCTCACTTATCACTCTTTGGAAAGTGCAGCACATATCGTCACTTATTATCAGATCTAAATCACAAACAAACTGAACCTCACTCTCGACCTTTCCTGTAACAATCTAGCCAGAAAAGAAGGAACTAACTTGGGCCAAGATGACTGACAATGTCATCTATGCGCTTCAAGAATTACTATTAGGGATTATCCATAGAAGAACTATTAGAACAGAATAGATATTTACCCGTCTAATATCAAGAACATATTGATGACCCTCTCAGCTAAAGGCTACGATGAGCTAGAGTGATATATTGTCGGTATGAAAGTATGAAGTAAAGTTTCTCAAGTTATTTCAGTAGGGATCTTCGTGATTCCTACTCTAAAGACATTGATCTATCAATAAGATTGAGGACATTGCTAAACGTTCTAAAGTATGTGAATTATTTGGAGATTGTATAGATATTCTAACGTTGTGTTTGCGCGATTGATGTAGCAGGAAGACTAAATTTAAAAAACAAATAATGGAGTTTCCACCCACAAACATATGTACCAACATAATCGATAATATGGCTGATTGAGCTATCTTGGAAATAATGTGTTAATGTGAGCAGATTGATTTTATTTATTTATGTTAAATGACAAGGTGTATCTGGTTGGTGTAGGAACTTGCCGAGCCAGTCAAGGTCAAGCTTAGGAGTCGCGTCAATAGCGCTACTCATGCAGATCAGTCGCGTGGAGGAAATTTGTACTTAGTAGTTATTGTCCGTCACTATTTTGTAAATAACACACTATCGCTTCTCATTCTATCTGACCTCCTTCCACTGTGATAATTCTATTGTCTTCTCTACAGCTATACAGCTACAGAAGGCCCCCTAATTTAATAATTTATAATATTTAACGTCGTGCCCGCGCACAGCACGTGAGTTCCTCACGTACCGGTTAGCCCAGTCTAAATTAAACTACCCGACGTGCTCGCTAAGGCCATGGAGACTTTGCTGACTACCACCGCCGCTTTCAGCACTCGGACGCTCTTCTAATCTGCGCTTGCGGGCTAGAAAAGTCGCCCGAGCACTTCTTCTTTTGTAGACTCAATCGGAATCGTTCCCGCCTTTGCAGCGGAAATAAGCACCCAACGACGGGAATTCGCTGGATCCTAGGCTCACCTGAAGGAGCCATAGCTTTTAGTAAATGGCTTCATGAAACGAGCTTTTTTGAAGCATGCAACAACAAGACTAACTAGTACCCCAAATTATATGCACTTGGCCTGTATCTGCTAGAGCTAAATTTAGAAGACTTCTGGTCTAGGTGATGGATAACTTTCCTTTTCATATATATAACTATCTTCTCTATTGTATTAGAATACAAAAGTCTCAGCTCGAGAGTACTTTTGGCTTCTTTCGATAGTTCGGGGTGCATGGCAGGTAGGCCTTGGCCCATTTATAACATGTCGGGCTTATTGAAAGGTATCGGCACGTCGGGTAGTTTATGTAGACTGAGCTGGCCAACACGAGACCTTAAGGTTGTGTTGTGAGCTAGCACGACGTTAAATAATTATAAAACTTCCCGACGTGTTGGCGCCCTCACAGACCCACCAAAGCAAGCAATAGCTAGGATTTTATCATCCTACGCTCGAAGATTATAGTGTACATGAAGGTCGTCCGTCCAACGAATCTCATGCTTAATGTGAGCAGATGCACATCTGAGCATGGTCAGATCTACTCATACAGTCATGGGACACATGAGGATTACGGAGTCTGTGGTTTGGGTCTGGGAGATAGGCAGGTATTGCAGATGATCCGAGCGCGATTATACATAGGGATGGCGCTCCTTCTGTTTGTACCAAAGAGAACCTTAGTGATCTAGTTACAATACGAGATTGAGCCAATTATTTTATAGTTAAGAAATAAATCAAGTAATCATCAATAGCAGTAACCAAGGAAGAATTTCCTTACTGAGGCCTCCACTATTTATTTATTGAGGACGAAGGCTGAACACCCGTAAGTGGTGTCCTCTACGAACCTGGGAGTGAAATGTTCCCCTAGAGCCGAGAGTCAGTCACGACAAAGGGTGAATTTGAGAATTTTCGTCGAATTTCCGATCGGGAGTAGCGTTGGCTCATTTTTGGTCGAAAATCCGACTTGCAGAGATTTCACGACTGCACAACTCAACGAAATCGAACATCTACAGCCCAGATACGAAACGCAGACAGGCTACAACCTATCTGATGTTCGTATCATAAAAAACGACACCTTCATGATCTTTTTTTCTTTTTCTCTGGAAAATCATTCCCAGCCAAACTCATCTCACGGCCCTCGCAAAAATCATCTCACCATCTACCTAAGCAATCCTATACCTCCAAAAGTCAAATCGCCAACAAAGAAGCAAGAGAATGTCCGACACTCCGCAAATCCCAGTCACTGTGAGGGTACGGTCGTAATACCGGCCTTAACTGCGTCCTCACCTCGGCCAAGGGCACCAACAACTCGACCTGCGTCGAATCGCCACCGACGAATTACGTACGACATTTCGCCGGCACACCAACTGAAGCGTTCGACAAAGGCTGGGGCACCGGTGCCTCGGTCTTGAGCTCGCAGTCACATTTCGACCTGCACGTTTAGGGGTACGGCAGCTACGGGGCAAGGCCGGAGGGATGGACATTCGACAAAGTTTCTGGGATGATGAGATCGGCTGAAGGACAGAGGAATGCTGTATGAAGGAACCAAAAGGGAATACAAACTGAGGAGGCCTTTGTGGGCGACTGGTTGAGGCCTCCAGTGAAGAAAAAGATCCCTGGATGAGATGAGCTAAAGCTGGGAATGAAACGATGGGAAAACTTACAGAACGCGAAGGTTCCAAGGGCAAGGGCGCGTGGTGGCTGTGGCTGAGGAGGAAATTGCGCTTCGGCGCGTCAAAAGAGGGTTCTCTCTACGGTTGGGCTTCACATGATTCAACATATGGGTGAAGTCTGAGCGCGTCCGGTCATTTAGGTGGGACAAAGTTAAGGTACATATTAATTTTTAACCTTGTACAGATGGACTCGATCGTACTCAGCCCCCCATGGAGGTGTGAATTATGCCTATTATCTAGGGCACCTATGTACATACATATTAGATTCACTAGGCTCTATTGATTCATTAATACAATAGTGGAAACCTCATAATCCAACTGTCTTCTCATGCACGATCGAATTACTCAAGAGTACCGAACTTGGACAACAGTAAGGCTTTAGTTTGTTTAATAAACTTAGCCCATCCTTTCCCAGATGACTGCTGCCCAGCATCCTGTGAATGTAACGCCAACCTGTGAATTCCCCCAAGATTAACTGCAACGCCAGTGATTAAATGACAATTGAAAGAGAAAGAATTTTACTTCACCAAAACACCCGCATGACTCATGAGTCTCCTTACTACTTTTGGGGAAATATTCGATTGACTATATCTCGCCGTTTGAGCTTCATAGCTGGTGTTACTAAGCCACTCTCTGGTGTCCATTCCTCGTCGATGATGAAAAGATTATCAACGATCTCAAAGCTAGCTAGTCCTGATTTTCGTCCTATTTTTTGCAAGTCATTAAGAATGACATTTCTTACGGTGGGTATATTTAATGTTGGAGTTGCAGCCTTGGACAGGATATCAATTTTTCGCTCTGCTAGTAGTGAAGTGAGAGCAGGAAGCGAGGGCGATATTATAGCAGTCGGGCGTGAGAAGGATGAGATTGCGTGAATGCAAACGTTAAGAATGAGGGGCGAGGTTCGGTAAACGGACTCAAGCTAAAAGTTCACATTGTTAGTCCGGTTTTCGGAGTGAGTGCGCAGGCTTGCAAAAACGAATTTCAATTGATGGGGTAATAGTGTCCGGGGGTTTGAAGAGAGTCACAGGATTTACACATACTTTTTCTAGAGCAACGTACTCTCCTCCCAACATCTTCACAAGATTCTTGACTCGGTCAATTATCTTCAGGTGCCCATTTTTGTCCCATTCGCCGACATCACCAGTCCGAAACCAACCGTCTAGGAAGACATTTTTTGTCTCCTCCTCATTCTCGTAGTAACCCTTCATCACGCTTGGTCCCCGGATTAAAATCTCACCCTTAGGGGGTACTCGATCCGCGAAATAGCCCAGTTCTGGATGGGAGAGAAGTTTTATCTCAACGCATCCACTGGGTGCGCCGACTGTATTGGGGGTCCATTGCAATGGCGTTTGCAGGGTACCCATGGCACAAGTTTCGGTTAATCCATAGCCGCTTACAAGCGGGGCGATATTATATGAGATAAACTTGCGAGTTTTCTCGTCAAGCGCGCCAGCTCCATTGAAACAGGCGCGTAATCGTCCACCCGTACCTTCTATAATGGCGCTGAAAGCAATATGAGTCAATATCTCGGGTCCAGGGAGACTGTGAGTACAGAGGAATTCCTTTGCGCGTAACGCATTTTGAAAAATTGTTCGCTTCATTAGGCTTGATTGAGCAACCTTGGCTTGAATACCTTTACGAAGAGTTTCCCATACTGCTGGGACGCCAACAAGAATTGATGGCGCGAATGTTTTGATATCACCCTCACAGTTTCGCATCGAAAGTGCTGATAGAGTGCGTGGGTTGCCGTATCCTATACGGATTCCCCAATAGAAGCAACAGTTTTCAAATGCATATTCGAATATGTGGCTCAACGGAAGGTAGGCGAGCATGGAGTCGTCAGTAGAAAGAAATCTTTGAAAGACGCTGCTAATTCCGGATATGGCAGCTACTACGTTTCTGTGAGTAAGGCTAACACCTTTGGGAAGACCGGTTGAGCCACTCGTGTACATGATGCAGGCAAGATCGTCTGCATTTGGTGGCACTGGCTCTACAGGGGTAGAAATCCCTAGCTGTTTCAGCATTTGGAGGCTTAAAATCTTCACATTAGGATGTGCTTGTCTAAGTGAGGCTAAATCTTCTTCCAAGACCGAATTTTGATCGTTGTATATGACATACTGTACGTGTGGTGCACTTTTGAGGGGGTTGATAAGTTTACATATGAGGTCTGGATCAGTAAATATAGCTTTGGCTCTCGTTTGCGTAAGTGAGGTAGTCAAGCCAACCTCGCCCAATGTTGCGTAAGATGTTACTACCGGAATAGATTGTGTCGTTGCAGCTGTTCCAGATTTTAGCTAGTGTCGATGATCAGTTGGGAGGGGCTATACCATGAGCTACTGCGAGCCAATTCATGCTAGGTCATCAGTGAGCTAGAGATACCTATTTAATATAATATAGATTGAGAGGTGATCGAGTTTTGAATGAGAAATAAATGATTTCAAAAACAAGAGATTACAAGCACGATATAGGTGTCTCTAAAGAAATTTGTCGCGGCATCATGCTCATTGCTACCGAAGTGGGGATTTCTGTGTTGGGATAACATAACTAGTGACAAGATAATTCATGATGTGGAAGATGTAGACTTAGCTTAACTTTGTGCAGAGATTACCATCTTAGTCAGGACTCATATTAATCCAGCTCAGCGATGATTTTAGGGTACTTACACGGGTCATACAAACATCACAGTGCTAAAATGTACAACCTTCCCGTGCTTGAGCTAAGCGAGAATGTAGTGGAAAGAAAAGGATAATTACCTTGTGGCTGCGAAGATGTGGACTCGATTACCGGGTACCATACCCAAGCTCCTCATGCCGGCGCCAAGGGAAAGAGCCAGCTCGAAGTACTGACGAAAAGTGAGATATTTAAATGGACCCATTTCGAAATAGACCCATTCCTTCTTGTCAATCTTTTCTTCTCCATTTACTACCGTCTTAACATCAGTGACCTCTCGGTGTAACTTTATGAGATCTCTCGTTCCGAGGCCAGGGAGTTCGGCAAATTTGGATCCAGCATATGCGACTATATCGTACAGCGTGTGTATATGAGGGTTGGGTGTGCTGGCAAGTGCGTTTGCGTGTTCGGGGTGACGGCGCGGCTTTGAGGTAACAATTTTATCGTGTTTTGGATCAGAGTTAGCCACTTCTATGCTAAATGGTGGATCCTCATAGATTCCCGGAGAAGTTACTGAGAAGGTTTGCATGGCTGTTGAAGTGATGAAAGTGGTGAAGTGGAATGGTATTGAATGCTGCTAATGAAACGGCGCAGAAGATAAGCAACTAGTCAGGAGGTAGCTGAACCCTTCCGAGTAGATTCCAACGGGTGGTTACGATTATAATTGGCATCCTGAACAATGGTAGATGGTCATTATATACGAGTGGGGAGTGGATGGGATATACGAGTTCTATTATTTTTCAAGACTCCCTAGCGCTTCTGACGAGGGAGTGGCTAGAAAAGGATCTGGGGTCTCAATAGTATTCCGGGGAGAGAGGTTACTCGATTCATCCCGAACTAGTGCTTGCTCGGTGGACATGGAATGAGGTTGGGTAGGGCTGGTAGTGAGTGGCTAGATACAAGCTAAAAATATCGCCAAAGATCCGAATAACGACTTATATTACCCCGCCGACAAGCTGTTAGGTTACGATGCGAGATCAAATTTCCCACTGAGCCCGCTAGTCATGAAGGCTGGTGGGGAAGGACTGGGGCAATCGGAGGGTTCCTCTGAATGCTAACTACGGAAGCTATGTGCAGTCCTCCGTAGTGGTGGGCGCTGAATTGCAAGTTCACATGGTGAAGGTTGGTAATTAGCGATGACGGTGGTGATTGTAGCAAGAGCACATACGAGTGACTTGCAATCGAGTATGGAAGGAGGGGGAAGATCGTGGTTCAAAGCTCGACTGGGATGAGCCTCGACGAATGCTATAGAAATAGAGTTAGCAGTCATGAGGCTTGTAACGGATAGGCGCAGACATCTCAAGATTAAGAACTGAATTGGCGTTTCAGCTCGAACTGCTGGGGAAACTAGCTCCGTACACCTCGAGAGCGAATGGCAGACGGCGTGAGTGTATGCTGGAGAGAATGAGCTTAAGTGGCAGGCCCTTCCCTGAGACAGTACGTCGAGAGAGATGATTGTGACAAGGAGACGAGAACATCAGAGGAGATCAGACGGTAGCTCTCTTGGCTGATTCATGTCAAAGTCATGACTCGTACATGGATTCGAGGAACTCACTCAGCCGTCGGTTGAGGGAACGAATTCCATCTTCACCCGACCTACCGCTCGCGGATAGATGCAGCATCTGCCTCCAGACCAGGCTGTGCACACGGAATATGCATGAGTGGCACTAGATTCTGCAGACGCTCGCTTCAGCTTGCCCTAGCCATGCTGATCATTCGACCTCCATGCTCGCGCTTCGGCTGGGGGGGAGAGAAGGGCCCTGGCACTTCCACGAGGGATCAGGGGTCAAGGCCATGATCGTAATATCCTCCTCCCGATTACTCAGTGTAGAGCGTGATATGAGGCCATGACTTGCTTTCATCCAGGCTATCGCGCTCTCTCCGACCTAAAGAGAAGAATTCCGTGTCACTCGCACCGCCAGGGTCTCAGCACGGTGAAAACCTCACACTACATCGCACCACGTCTCTCAACTGTACCTCCTTTGGCCTTAGTAACTTCACCATGCCCGGAAACTAATCCGGCCATCTCGATTGTTGCATGTTTTTCAGTTACGGACTCAGCCATAACATTATTGCCGTTGATAATTTCACGCTGTCCGGACTTCAAGGTATCCTCGCCATGTAGACCGCGTTACCTAGATGCGTGGCATGGATTTAACACCTGCGATGACCTCTTCTCTACTCAATCATGACAAGATTCCTACCAAGAAAGTTTATTCGCTTCAACTCCGATACATGAACAGCCCCTCAATATTCCATGAAAGAGAGCAGTTTGTGCTTTTACTCAGCTCTAAAACCATATATGAACATGTAGTCCTGCCAAGCGAATATAATATGGGAGCTCCTCAATATAAGAATACGCACCTCAGGCGTTTATAGAATGCCTATGTGTGGCTTGGACAGGGGACCGAAGGACCTCTCACGAGTGTGCAAATAAACAAATCCCCTTGTTCCATTTGAATTCCTCCTCCCAGCCATGCAAGAAACTGTGCTTCTCGCAGTCGATCATGCCACCCTTGAGCCTATAGTCATGCCAGAGAAGTGGCGATTGTTTTGAGCAATCGGATCACTCTTTGCTCTCATAACTTCTAAACTTTAGCTGTCGTGTCCATGGCTCTGCATTGGTCCAGTGGACAGACTTCCTCTGCTTCTTGTCAGCTAGCTTTGGAGCATAAAGTTGATTTACGTACAATAACTTGAAACTTGGGCCCGAACGAAGTAGATGTTTACGGCCAGGCACGTTGATTTAGAAGCAGAGGCTTCAACAACCAGCAGTCTCAAGTTGATAAGGGTGCAGCAGAGGCTTTATCGGAGGAAGAATACGGGCACGTTGCAGGTGGCTGAGATGAAACTTGACAAGAGTTTGTCGATCCTCCGAGCCGCTCAGTAGCTCTCAGGTGCCCATAGATCCAAACTCTGTGGACAATTCACGGAGCTCGAAGAAATGCGACCATCAAAGCGTAAAACCGCCCGTGGGTGCATGATTCTAGAAGATTAATCGACGAAACTTGCCGATTCATCGCAACGCGCCGATAAAAACCCGGGTCTAAGTGACTTTATTGTAACACTTGAGTCTACGACAATCTAGCACATCAGACTTCTCTCTGACCCAGTCTACACCTCGTACAGTGCTCCTCTCTTCTTTTTTTTGAAGACCATTGATGTATTGTTCGTGATGAAAAGGGCTTAGACCCTACCATTTGATCTGATCGTAGTTAGCTTCATGGTAATAGTGCCAAGGGATTGTACTGAGAGATGAAGACGATGCAGACGACGACAGCGATTGGGAATCCTCATCGACTAAAGGAAGGTGATACTCAATCCTAGCCCTGTAGATTCTTCAGTGAGAGCTGCAGGTTCGTGGGGGCACTACTGACAGGTGTTGCGGATAGTCCCCGATGAAGAAGCGTGCCAAGAGAGTTACTGTAGCATTTTCGAAACGCAACAGCGCTAGCTTGGCATTCAGACGAAAGCTGAGCATTTGTCAGCGACGCATCCACGGAACCTGGGGAAAATTCTGCTGGTGCTGGGATTCAGTCGATTTCTACTGCATCAGCAATTAGAGAAATCGAGTCAAATCATGATGAAAAAATGGGCGGGATAAATGCTGACGCTTCAAGTAATAATGGATTGCTCACGCAAGAAGTCATGAAATTTCAAAGTTTATGGAAATTCACGCGGGGAAGGTTACAGGTGCTAATCTGAATAATCCAGGCTCTTTCCTTCATCAGCACATCGAGTGTCTTTGTTATCCACATTGCTCTTTCCAACCATGATCTAGAGTCCTCTCTATAGTTCTGATTTCACCAGGATTGCTTGCCATTGCTTAAAAGAACAGACCTGGCGGTTCTATGGTTGGTAGGCATACGGATGGCCTGGACTTTAGGCTTCTAGTACTCTTCGTGAATACGAGTTGAGACAACTGGTAACGCTTCGGATATCCGTGAAGAAAAAATGTCAGTTTCTGGAGACTCACTTTGTGTCTTCTAGAAAGTCGGCCTCCACAGAGCTTGGCTGCTCTCCAAGTTTTCGGAGAGACTGTACCCAGTTGTCAATACTGCTGAATTCAGCCTTGGTTGGGCCAAGACTTTGCTCATTCATGATACGCCGTGATCTTTTTCGCTTCTTTCTGTCGTATTATGGACTAGTTCTCCCATCAACTTTCCATCCATTTTGCCAGATCTACTCTTCTGATGTGCGCTCAAACGTCTTCTCTCATTTGATTGAGAAAGTTGATGGTACCACGTATAGATTGAATGATTATTGAAGCTAATAGGTTCATTGAACGGCCAAAGTATTGAGCTATCTGTTACTCCAGGTAGATTTCTGTTGGCAAAGTGATATCTAAGTGTCAAATCACTCTCGTGCTATTTAATTTATTTACTCCTCTGACTAATTTTCGACAATCTCCTTTTCAGCTTCCGAGGGATTTGACTGTCTTTTCAGATATTTTATCACCTGGACCTGCGAGTCTGCCTTCAGCTATACACTTTTAATTTGAGATCCTCACTTTAGTTTGGTATCAAAGTAGGTTATGCGAACCCAGAGAGAAAGCTGCAGTGCCCTCTTATGGCCTGATATATGGATCGTCACTTTGCGGTTATGTCTTTTCTTGTAAGAAGTGCACCACCTAGTACTGCTTAGGCGCGAATCTATCCCCATGCCTTTCGTTCACTGCTCCTAGATTTAGTGTTGTTGTCCCAACTCTTCGTAGTTTTCGTCAGTTTATTTCTCCATTGAGGTATCCTCATTAAATTTAAAAACCGAGATAGAGCAAGTGTTGAGCATCTTTAAGAGTTTGCCGAGAATAGAGAAACAGCATCGATGATAGCGAGAAGCATGAGGTATTCCCGCGCCAGTAGGTATCAGATCTCCGATTGGAGGGCAAGACTGAACACCTGTACGCGGTGTCTTCTACGAACCTAGGAGTGGAATATTCTCCCAGAGCCAAGTTCGGTCAAATTTCGCAATATCAAAGAAGTTGGCCCACAAGGCAAAAATCAAGATTACTCCTCCACGTCGTTTTTCGCTCCCAACGAGTTTGACTCCTACCCAAGCCTCATCAGGTCTACAAGTACGACCAAGTACATCCTCATCGCAATGACCACACCGCCCTTCGACCTTCTCTGGTCCTAGTTGACCACCATATACACGCCCACGCCGATATTTATACCCGACTGAGGAAGCAAAGCGTGGTCCACTATTCTGGGAGGTAGCTCTTGGGATGGACGTGAGAGGGATCAGGACAAGTCCACAAGATGATGCAGAAGAGGGATACATTCTCGACGGGCGTGAAATTTGGAGTTTTGGCAAGGAGTTTTTACAAATTGAGCTTTGTGCGCGCCGAGGCTTCGCTTGCGAGAGTGCAGCTGACACTATAAACACAAGCAATCGATGGAAGGTGCTATAGTCCGCGTCCTGGTGATGTTCCCTGGAATGGTTTGAGTAGTCTGGACACCTACTCCAGTTGGGAAGGAGACGCCCAAGACCATATTTCGCGCGGGAAAAAATTAATGGATGGAGGCATGT